TAACACCAGAGCAAAGCGTGCTGCTTGATGCAGGGCCAAAACCCCTCACCTGCTGCTACATGTGTATGCTGCTATGAAACCTGCCGTGGGCGAAGTGGCAGAATAAGAAGGGCAGCGTAAAAAGAGCGACAAAGGAAACAACTTTTTCTCCATTTCATGGTGTATAGTACAGATTTTGATCATCATCAGACTCTCCTGTAGGCTTTTGCCTGATGCAAAGTCACTGGGCCTTGGCTCTAGCCAGCTTAAAACCAACATGAAGCAGGAAATGGCAAAGTAAGAGATTTTTGTAATACTTGGAGCTGTTGGCAATGAAGAGCCTTACCATTAAGAGCTAATGCAATGGAAGTGCCCACATGTCATAACCTTTACCCGTTCCTCCCCCTTGTAATAGGTGTGCAGAGACTTCACCTGTAGCCTTTTCTCATCTGAATGCTTAAGTTGAATTGAAGGTCTTGATTCTAAAATAAATTGTCACTGGTTTGCCATGTACATATCTCCCTTGGTTTGAGCCGGATTTCTGCAGATCTGTGTTACTGTAAGGAGCATCTAGTTTAAAAATATCATGCTGAGAAAAAAAATGCTGGCCCTGATCTCAAACTGTGGTATTGATCTCTGTGTGCCTCAGGGGAATCGGGAACAATACGTGTATAACGTGTACCTGAGTTGAGCTAATTGCACAATGTAGTCTTAATCATCTAAATGTTCTTGTGACTATTACTAAGCACTTGCTTCAGTAGAAGCTGGTGGAAACCTGCCTATAATGCAAAAGATTTTTTTTTATTATCTGCTTGTTATTTTTTATATGTGATGCCTTTATTTTCTGTCCTTCTATGTAGAAATGATAAATAAGAGCCTTTTCCTGTCTTTTTATGCATAGTTAGGAGAATAATCATGCTACTGAGGCTGTTCCTAATGGTTCCCAGTGGAGTTCTTCCAAGTTTTCAGATTGGTTATATTTCATATTTTCATATTTTTAGTGACCCTTGGTGCAAGAAGAAGACATATACTAATGAAATCTGCTGAGGCAAACTTACAAAGCATTTTCTACTCGGGGAAAAATCAGAATATAATATGGAAAGAATTAGAAAGCTTTAAAAGTTAGGATGAAGTTCAGTAGTACAAAGTACAAGGTCATTTAAAAATTCACATCAAACATTTCTACCACAGATTACAGATCTATCATAGGAAGTGACAGGAGAAGGAAGAAGATGTAGAGATGTGGTGGATGATTAAAGTGTAACTGTGCAATGTGTCTGTTAAAGAGGTCAGTGGGATACTGGGACACGAGTTTTTCAGTAGATACAGGAAATATTAATTTTATTATGCAAAGCCACTACATGCCCATGCAAGTAGACGGTACCTCCTACATCACTGAATATGCAAATGTTTTTCTCAGTTTGCCAAACTCAGCTTTCAGAACAGTTCAGTGAGTGGGTCTCTGTGGGTAATCTCAGGGGTCAGATGGTAATCTGGGTTGTCACAAGGTTCTATGGAATGCTTGTTCAGTTACGTAAACAACTAATCTGCCATGAACAGTGCCGTCGAGAGCAAGTGCGCTGATTTCAGTTACTGAAACATAGGTCCCTATACATTTAGCAAAGGGTGTTAACGTGAATAAAAATACAGATTATGACTGAAAGCTCATTCAGAGGAAACGGAAAATTGCAGAAGGGTTTTTGCTTTTCTCCAGCCAGGGATATAAATTAGTTTAATGATATTGGTGTGGGCTTATCTGTGGAAGGGAGGTGAAAAAGGGTGAAGTTTGCAGTGCTTATATAAATGGGCGCATATAATTTTATCCCATGTTATTGGAGCCTGTATTCTTGTCTGCGGTAACTCTGTGTGTCTCACTGAGATATGAATTATTAGCATTAAATACTAATTGTACTAGATACCAGGAGGCCTGGTACTGGCGTTCCATTCATGTTAGCTCTCTTTCCTTTGCATACTGCTACTGTCTCTTTCATTTTTCTTTCTTTTCAAATAGGTTTAGTTACTGCAGTTATGCTGAACAGTGACAAATTGTGTCGTGGCATTGTGATGAAGACAAATACTTTCTGAGGAGAGAAGAAATCCGAAGTTTTCACTTGCGTACTGAAGTCTGAAGAGGCAACAGGTAATACGTTATAAAAGAGTCTAGTTTCCAAAGTATCTTTCACCGAGGCACATCACTAAGTCTGTATTATGGCCGTTCTGTGCAAAAAGTCAATGGCTTTCTTAAAATAAGACTGATACACTGGGAAGCTGCCTTGCTTTGTGAAATGGATGTAAGAGAAATGTTAGTAATTGATCATGAACCCATTTTTTATGAGGTTTATGTAGGGTAAGGAGAAGGGTTGCTACTGTTGCAAGGGTCTCTCAAGAAGTAGATGGTATGAGCTCTGTCATATTTCCAAAGGAATATATTACTACCTGTCCTGAAAATTAAGAGTATAAAGAGGTGCCAAAGGAGCAGGTGAAATGTTGGCAGGCAGCTTACAGTGCAGAGTGAAAGCAGCATAGGGATAAAGTTCTCAGTACCACTGATCCCAAATATATAGGTCCCCTTGCCATTGTTAGCTTATGTGGGGCACCTTCATGCCCCCCATATGAAATCTTAAAAATACAGCACTACTTTCTTTAGTATCAAGAATAGCATGAAAAGAACAGCATGAACACAGTGTAGCAGGACTAGCAATAATTTATTCCTTATCTAAATTTCACATAAATAATACTTTGGAGCAAAAAAGTTGTCTTGTATTCTGTCTAGGCTCACTTTAGCCAGTGTTTTGCCGGACACAGCAAGTATGTGCAAGGATGTTGGTTGGTAGGAAAACCTGGGGATTCTAAAATGCTGCTTTATATTTTCAGAATTTCACTCTGAGGACACTGTAAGCAGAGAAGCTTTTAAAAGTGTGAAGAGGGTGATGCTGTTTGGTTCTTTAACAGCATCATAAACCTCATTGAAATGTTTTTCTCGGGTTTGTCCTTGTGGGAAATTGACCATGGTGGCACACTGGAATACCTCCCCAAAGAAAGCTACAGCTCCTAGCGGTCACATTAGTGCTATCTTTGACAGCCACCCTGGGAACAGCTCTGACACTCAGCCGATTGGTACAGGTTGACTTCTGTCCACAAGGCCGGGTCCACGAGATAAAAACTCTCTGATATAAGAGGAAATCAGTTCAGCTAACAGTGTGGACTCATTTGGTAATAGAAGTGACTTTAGTCTGGAGTGATGAATAAATTAGTTATTAAAAAAAACAAGATCGCTGGCATAAAGTTAACTTGTGATACTTGGGAGATGAGCCATTTTTTGCTATATTTTTTTCTGGTTGCTTCCTCTGTGTGTTCTTATGGCAAATTTCTTATTTACTGACTTTTTCCTTAATCTCCTTTTATCAGCTGGACTGACATACTTCTCCCTAACATCTTGTGAAGAATGACCTGCTTATTGTTCCCAGAGAAGCAAGACTCTTCAGCTGACTTTCCTCTTCTGGTCTGGGGTCTCGCTCTCTGCTTTCAATTCTTGGAAAGGGTGCTTCCAGGAAAGTGCATTTCACTTGCTCTCAGCTTTGCTTTTTCTTACACGGATCAATGATATTGCTGTAGTGTATGATTCCCTCTTTCTATGTTACTCTCCTCTAGGTTTCCAATCATATCCCCTTCCTTTCCTAGTACTGCCTATAGCAATGCGTAGGTCACAGAAATATTAGTACAGGCCTAAGCCCATGGGCTTCCCAGAGTGGTTCATATTCAGATATTTGGTTCATACAGCAGTGAAGATCCATGAGTGACATTTTCTAAGGAAGGGACTTGCCTGTTACTAGACAAACAGCAGTTAAGACGGAAAAAAATGTAGTCTGAAGGGGACAGAAGATGTGCTGGGAAATTGGAATAAAACCATGGAACCTGTAGAACATACTTGACCAGATTTCTTAGAAAAATAAGAAAATGTGATTTGTCCAGTCAAAAACTGCCTATGGCATCAAACTGACTAAAATGGACTGGAAAATAAAGCAATATATTGCACAGAAGCATGTCCTGGCAAGCTCTTGAAGGGCAGGAAAAGAACTCAACAGAAGTGAAAGGAAATTAATTCTGATTATGTTGTTAAAATGGGGTCACCCTGATTCCACAACAGGGTTTTAAAAATACAATAAATCAGAAAATAATAGGAGACAGATGAGGACTGACAAATCATAGGATTCCAGGTATCTGATCTGAAGCAGATCTTGGGGAAATGGAAGTGATGGGAATGGGTTGGTGCTCAGCAGCGTATCCCAGGATTACAAGTGACTGCTGTACTTTATGGATCTTTATCTTTATCGAGCAAAGTTTCAGCACAGTTTGTGCACTCTTTTCGTGGGCGTCTGACAGACCACAGAGTCTGCTGTTGGGGATGGGCTGTTGTATCAATCGTTACCCCGGTCCAAAGCAGGCTGACGGTAGCTGGGCGCAGAGCTGCACATGCAGCATCGCCCAGGGCAGAGATGTCACTGCAAGCGTTAAAAGGCGGACTCCTCTCACAGTAGTGCGTGGTGGCTCCACTCAGAGTTTGCTGATGTTAGCATAGCTGGGTTTGAACATTAGTTGTGCAAACCTAGAATTAATCTGTTAGGAGAGTTTAGTTCCCAGTTGTTACTTGTTATACTAATTTTTACTTATTTATTTATAGAAATGGATGAACTCTTGTCTGTATACTGACTTTATTCTCTGGTACAAAGTTTAGCAGCAGTGTGATAGTTATAGTACTATGTCCAAATTTACTTTCCCGAATACAGGATAAAAAGACAAATGTAATGTTATCAGATAGAGTTAAAAACTAGTTTTTAGCTTTACATAAAATGTAGTGAATTCAAGATCACTGAATCACATTTTCAAGGCAGTTCTGGACTGGCTTTTTTTTCAATATGCTGCTGCTTAGCAGAAGAGGCTATAAATCGGTTTATGGATGTTTATGAGCTCTCCCCTATGATCCATGTAATAAATATGTAGTAAATAGGATTGAGCAGCAGTGGGGGTTTTTCCAGGGTTTTTGCATGTACTTTTTGCATGTTTGTTCAATAAAAATGCAGGAAATAACAAAGGGTGAATTTGCTTGCACCTACTGAAATTTGTGCATGATACAATTTATTTTGCTGTGTTTAGGATCCTGTATTTCTATGAATATATTAATTTATTACATCTGAGGGGTGGACAGCTGGATTTGGATTATCTGGAGTTTAATATTTGGAAAAGCTGACTGTGGTCTTTGTTTTCATGTACATCTTTGTGTAACCTTGGAGAATGTTCTTTTTCTTTCTCTTGTTTTCTTTTTTCTTTTTTTTTAAAGTGGTTTTTTTTTTTGCCCTGAAATAAAAATAAAGGACCTCAGTAGTTCTGAGGACTTAGACCTCCATCTCCCTGTACTTTAATTTCCTAGGAGAACTTCTGCTGGAAAAGTATGATCTGGTATAAATTCATTCACTCAAGAGCACTTGAGCCTTTAAGATGCTTCTTGGGGTTTTTTTGCTTTCAGTTAATGCTGATTAATAATTGATCGCTCTATCTACCATGACTTCCCTTTACAGGAGAAAAAAAGTGATTTGACATATTGCTTTTTAAAAAAGCTTAAATTAATGAACACAGTAAAAGTAGGCACACTGGTAAGCAGCATCCTGACCTAAAGAAGCAATTAAAAATAAATCACCCATCTCCAAGAAAGATAAAAATAATATTCAGTAAGAGTTTTTTCCGCAGCTTGAAAGCGAAAATAAATTTCTTAAAGCAAAATGAATGTTACAAGCACTCATTTTTGTGGAAGGAAAAAAGAGCCTAAAAATACTTAATGCACTGAAAAACCAAGAGCAAAGGCTGAAATAGCATAATCCTTTCCTCTTCAGAATATGGAAACGGGAAGGGACAGAGTGGGGAAATAGACCTTTAAATATTGAAATGCATTATCTTAAAGGAATTGCTCTGAAACAGCACATTGGTAATATTAATGCTGGCAGGAGAGTGTGTCTGTGGGAGCATAGAATGAAAATTATCTGAATAAATCGCGGAGATCACTTGTCCACATAAAGTACCCATCAGATTTACACAGAAGTATGTGTGCAGAAGTATGGAAGTGATACGGTTGTCCTCATGCCCTTCAGAACAGTGACCTACCTCAATTCTCATGAATGTCTGAGCTGAAATCCATATTCCCTTCCTATTGTAAGCGCTGTGTGATCATGCTGCATGATTTTAGGGCCTGACCCAGCTCTCACTGAAGTCTGCTTTTTACTTTAGTAGCGGGTGAATTGGGCCAGCCATAGTTACTTATGATCTATTTCAGTTATTAGTGATGTCCTTTCAGTTTGTAAAATGATTTGGCACTGTAGTGGAGCCTATAAATACCAGATTGCATTGCCATGGCAATGGGAGAATAATTTTTTTTTTTTTTTTTTTTAATGCCTAAAAGAATGGGGTCAGCCTCAGAGCCACAACTAGCTTGGAAATGAAGTGGCACCTGAGCTGGTCAGGGAACAGACTGCTTATTAAAAGCACTAGAGGATGGAGTTCAAGGCAGTAGGTCAAGGCTGAAATACTGGCACTGTTGAGCTCATTGAGTTGTATATTGACTTCATTGGAGGCAGGATTTCACTTGAGATTTCCCTGAATAAGGGAAGTTCTTTGAACAGTTGACATGCGTCCACCCTCTTGTCATATCTCCCTCATTCTTTTCACTCCTCCTCGCATTTCAATATTACAAATTGTTGGATAATTTATCAGTTCTTTTTGAAGCATGAGAAAACTTGGCAGGGAGTACAAAGTTGAAAGTAACTCATTCTACAACAGTTTCAGATCTGTGCTAATCATTAATTTTGAGTAAAGGTGATTTTCTTTTCAAACGGCTTCTCAGAAGGCTTCTCTCCATGTAACTAATAGGACTTCATGGGCATGGCAGGCCTCCCGGGAGTTCTGTGGCAAAAGAGCAGCGGCGCTGCAACTTGTAGAGTCATCCAGGGGAATCCAATGACTCTACAACCACTTGTGTAGTAACTTTGTTGCTTTGTTTGTCTGATTGCAAGATCACCTGTGAAGCTGTCACAGAATCTGAGGTATTTACTTGATCTCACAGGCCCCATCCCTTGCAAAGGAAATCTGACA